AATTCAAGCAAAATTTATACCTGAACTTAGGATGCTCTGATTGAATTAAGCAAAGGGAACCTTTTATAAGTATTTGGGGGCTTGACAAGTTCATCCGCAAGACTTTAGAAATAAGGAGTTAAATGATAAAATCTATACATAATGGATCAGGAACATCAAGTCATCTGAAAAAAAAGAGAATAGCTGTTAGACCAGAACAGGACTTTCTTTGAACATGTTTGGAGTGTGATACCTCAACTAAGAAAGAATTGTTTGATGGAATGGGTCCTGGTCAACCCAGAAGTATGAAAACAATTGGAGGCAGGGTGTCAAGGACCCTGCAATGTCCATCCTAGGACTAACGACAGGAAGGAGAATTGTAGGCATTAGGCCTCCATCCTCAGGGAACAATGTGAGGTCTCAGGTGAGGTCTCCCCATGAAGAGCAAGTGGGCGGAATGTTTGGATTTAGTTCTTTGATAGCAGGACATAGCACCCCAACACCATGGTAAGAGAAAAGAATGAAGTAGAGAGCCGGTTTGAGACAAGAACCCCCAGTTGAGAGTGAAGGCCTGCTACACAGGGCCACATGGGCCCCTGGGAGTCATGTAACAGCAAGCTGGGGTTATTGGGCAGCTTAGGTGTGGCCAGCAACTGGGCTTAGCTGGGTTTCCCAGGCTCCCTGTGAATGAGCTAATTTGAATCTTTTCACTGGTTCCAGAGCATCGTGGCTATCCCTAGTCATCTGGTACCTGGCGCCCAGGGCTATTAGGGCTGGAGCTGGTGGTGCCTAGTGGCCTGGAGGTTTAGAGCCCAAAGGGAAGTGGTTGGGGTATTGATTTAATCAGCTGCTTAAGGGGAGCTGATCAGCCTCTAGCCAGAATGTTAAAACTGGGTCAAAACACGTTTTAAAAAATAAAATTAAAAAATAAAATCCTACAAGCTGACCCAGATGTTAGATAACTGCTATCTTGGATTCAAGGGCTGCCTTAGAGCAAGTTCCTCCCTTCAGTGAAAAGGAGGATTAGCTGTCTCATGAGATGATTAGAGTACTGGCTGCTATCAAGAGTCTATTCTTCTTTTTTTTTTTTAGCTGAGCCATCCTGCCACCTGTTGGCAGCTCAGCTTGGGCCGGGAATC